ACGCCCCTGAGGAGCTCGACGTTCGCGTGCGAGTACGCGAGGCTGCGCCGCGCTTTTCTCCAGGGGCTGTTGCAACTGCTGCACTCCTGCAGGGCTCTGAGCACGGCGCCGCAGTGCTCGCGGCTGCTACACGACGGGGCCGCAACCGACCGCGACCCGCTCCTCAAGTACGGCCGCGTCACAGCCGAGGTGAGACTCTATACTTTGGTTTCTCTTTCCAGCCAAGTGCTTTTTCACTCCACAGCTGATGTCCTGTTTATTGTAACTGGTTGTAACCATCACTTGGTGCATCCATAGCTTTGCTTGTTCTATATTTTATAAATTAAACGTGTAATTTAAGACGCGCTTGGATTAATAGTGATACAATGTGAGTTTACAGTTGAGGAAGTCGATGGCCGAGCTGAGGAGCTGCGCCGACAATTACCGTAAACTACAGCGGTCCGCGTTCGACGCCGATCCCGGCACGCTGACCAACCTACGGGCGTATCCTTTTTCTCTCATCTTTCACATATTTAGCCGATTCGTCGCCTTAACTGCTCACGTGTGTAATATGTAGTCTGGAAAAACTGTGCCTACTGATGACCCAGAGCGTGCAGCGGGTGTGCACGACCACCGATGCCCCGGACATTTGGGAGGAGGACGCGAAAGCCATGTCCCTGGAGGAGCAGCAGATGTCGCGGTGTTGCGCCCAACTGCGCCAACTGATGCCCACGCCGAACGAGCCCACCGGGGGCGACTCGAGCACCAAGCACTTTGGGGTCAGTCGGCGCCGGGTCGGCCAACTGTTGGCCCAACTGGAGCTTTTGACCAGCGACCAGCATCAGTTCCCGGTGCCACGGTACTTTTTCCAGCAGTTGCGCTCGACCAGCATCGCCCTCTCCATGGCTCCGCAGTCGCGCGCCCTCGGCGAGCCGCTCTGCGTGCCCCATACCAGCCAACTGGCCCTCAAGGTCGAGGGCGTGCTCAGAAGCACGGGGAACAGGGCCTCCACGAGGTCGGTGAGTGCCGTGCGCGTCACCGTGTCGACCACGAGGGTGATCGCGCCAAACTCTACTTCCAAGAAATTGCAGGTACACCTCGTTGCTCTATTTTTTTTTTTTTTTTGCTTATCATGATCCCCATGGGTGGACTGCACGTCGAGTGCCTGTTACAGGACACGTTGGGCGAGCTGGAGCAGACTGTGGTGCCCCTGCGGGACTTTTTCGCTTGCGAGTTTTTGGTGTCGTTTGCCGCTTTTTCCTATTCCTTGTCGGTGCGGAGTCAGTGCTTGTGCCAAGTGACCGCGAGGGCGAGTGTGGTCGACGAAAACGGCAACTCGTGGGACTGCGGGGCACGCTCGAGCCTGATGGTCAAGGTTTTCGAGGAGCCGCTCGCAAAGTGCAAGAAACTCACCTCGTCCCAGAATGGACGCGCGTGGAAGTAACCGTGTACACATGTATATACATGCATGACCAAACAATTTTTTATTTATTTACACACCGAGTACGTAATTTTTCTTTTTTCCTTCCTTCCTTTTTTTTTTTTTTTTTTTTTTTTTTTTTTTTTTTTTTTTTTTTTT